GTTTATGTATTTTCAAAAATAATTATTTAAAATTGTTGTTTGACCAATTTTCATGTCTGATTTAAGTTAACAGTGAATACTTGGGCCATGCAAATAGTTGTTGCCGTGTAAATTAGTATTTCTCCATGTTGGTATTATTTTCCTTCCTTACTCAGAGGTAAATACATTATAGCAAATCTGTCTGTTTACAGACAGCTGGATATCAATAAAAATCTGTTAAATGTCTGTATGAAAAAGAAGTGGTTGTCTGTGATTGGGTAGATTCACTTTCTAAAAACCCTTAACTTTGCACTAATATGCCTTTAACTACCCTTTAACATCCCACTTTGTGTATCACTATTACAAGCAACAGCAAAAGGTATTTACACAATATAGGGAATAAACCCCCACAACTCTCTAATAATAATGACAATAACCTTAGCCAAGGATATTTCTCTATTTCTCTAAAATTAATAACTAGCTGGGGTTAATGGCCACTGGCTTCACCTTAGGCCCTCAATTAATCCCTGAACCTCAATTGTTATTACCTAATTGACTTAGTTTCATTTCATTTTAACATTTCAAAGTGATCTTCCTAAAACCACAGTGACAGAGTAACGTGGTCTCTGTAGATATGCACTGACATGGTTTCAATACTGTTGCTCGGTCTCCATATGCCTGCATTGACATTTCATTTTGCGCTGACATCGCAGTGCCACATCTATGGATCTGTGCAGATGACGTGGGATTGTTCACATTAGGTGAAAGCCTGGCCAGAAGCGAGGGCAAGCAGGCATCCTCTGCAGGAACATGATGCCAGCTGAGAGCTACTAAGAATTACTGTTATCATTTTTAATAATGTTATCTTTGCAAATAGGATTTGTATGTTTGTAAACAGAAGAAATATCAAATGTGACTTGAGATCTTGCTAGCTTCCTTAAATAAACACACAAACAATTTTTTTTTTACTTAGATCACTTAAAGACTTAGCCTGAAAAATGCACCAGGTAATATATTTAAAGAGTTGTTTTGATATTACCACTTCATGCTTATTTGAGGCTGCAAACAAATTATGCAAATCCTGTGTGTTCAAATATCACTGTATCAACGCAAGCAGCTGAATACTCTAAGATGCATCTCTAAACCAAGAAATCCTCATAAGAAAAGGGCATCAAAATAGAGTCCTTTTATTATGTGGAAAAGTTTTTGAAAAGTCTTTTGAAGCTCTTTGATCCAGCTCGGGAATAATTTTGGTAGATTACTATTGTACAAAACCCGTAATTTATAGTAGGTGACCTCAGCTGCTCTTTGTATAACAGGCATATATGAAACAATAGCAGGAAAGTAAAAAATACAAGGGGAACTAAAACTGCTCTGTTTATTATGTAGCTCATAATTACATCTTCCTTATTTAATCTTTTGAATCCTGGCGTGTTTTTAATAATACAGGTTCAATTAATATTTACTGTACACAGGAGAGTTCGTTTTGAGTAACGCATTTAGACTATCCAAACTTTGTGTAACTTGCGACCTTTCCCTAACCTAAGCGAGGTCTATTTTATACAGATCGTACTAGATAGACGCTTTCTCTATAAATGGTGAAGCTGCTGCCAAGCTCCCATTGTTAGCTAGTTCATTTTTCAACAGGCACACTTTAGGTTCCTATCACACCACTGTAAAGAGCAAGCCCTTGAGGTTTCTTCTTTTGTCAATGTAGTAAAAAGGTTATTTCTGAATAAGCTGAAAATCCACAACAAATCACCCTTTGTGACTTAGAATAACATGATAGGAGGAATTTTTTATTGTTTTTGCAAGCAGCCTCCCATTTAATTCTGTAATATTAAATCGATACTTGAGCTGCATTTGTTCTAATGTAATTTATCTCATCCTTGAAATAAGAAACCCATGTTTCTAACAACTGTTACCCTAGTTCAGTATTCACCATCTAACAGCAGAAGATCCCTTTAGAAGAAGCTATCTATTGTAAGACTTATCAGACAAAGCAACACCAAGAATCAAGTAAAATTCTGTGTTCTTTTTGTTAACCCTTGAGGAGTTGTTATCAACTCTGGTAAATAACAACATCCTGTAGGATGCACAAGCTCTTGCCAGATCGACTGTGATGTGGAAATGGGGAGAAAGCCATCTTTTCCACTCTGAACCAAGTAGAGCAGGAGGAAAGATGAATCTTTAACTTCAACAGATCTCCTTGCAGGAGTACCACACAAACAAAGCATGAAGTTACAGAAGGCAAGGCTCCTTAATGAAAGAGATGCTTTAACAGCTGAATTCCTAATATTTCCTTTGCCTATCTTCTAGTAGTACAGAGGCACTAAGTCCTTTATACAATTGTACTCTCAGTTGAGGAGTGAGTGATTATTTTGCACTAAGTGTACTCTGTTTGGTGAATACTCCCAGCCTGCAGAAATTACCTGTGTATCATATCAAGAGTATGAAGAGCATCACAATGGTTCCCCATTGCAAAGCTATGTGGAAATTTTGGGGACAGTCTCCCTAGGATCTAGAGCTGCTATTTAAATTAGAGTAAGAGCAAAATTGCTTTATATGGTTGGTCAGTTCAAATGTACACAGAAATGGAAACAGCACTCTTCAGATTCAGTAACAGAAACAGAAGTGGGTGCTAGAAAACATGGTAGAAAACTTTTCAAAGAGGATATATGAGCAAATGGGAGGATATTGAGTAAATAAAAGTGAAATGGTTAAAATAAGATCAAACACTAAAAGGGGAGGACTGGAAAATGGAAAGAGGCATTCACAGTCTTTTGTAGTAGTCTAGATGGTGGAAAAATCCAAAAACCAATACCAGGAAAGAATGACTTTTTGAATGAGCAAATACAACAGAACAGGATGAAAACTATTCATGAATTACCAGTACCATTAATGTAATGAGGTAAGCACAATAAGACATTTGGTCCCTTTTCGTCAGCTTTAGACAAAACTTTTTCTGCTCTTAGCTGTCTTTAGGGAAAGATTGTGAAATTCATACTAATAATGTGTCCCCAGAGTATAGGAATGGTAAAATCTCTGTTTTCTTCCTACAGTAGAGTGTGTGACCCACCATTGTGTTGTTCCTCCTCTACAAGGAAGTTTTGCTTCCCTGCCCAGTACAATTACATCCATTCCTAAAGCTCAGAACAGGCCTTATAACAGTGGTGGTAAGAGCAGATGCTTGCAAGTCTATATATGCCAGTGAGAACATCATTCAGTTTTATGTTCACTTCTGTTTTCTGGCTTGGCATAATTCATTAGCACACTCTACAGAATACTCTATAAAGCTGAATTTGGTTTTAATGTTAATGTTCTAATTGCCACAACATTGTTTAAGAAAACCAAAGCAAGAAAAAACCCACAAACAAACGGCATTGACTTCCTCTTTAATATTAAAGTTGTTGTTTACATCTGATAAACAGAGAAAATAGCCAAATAAAGTTTTTTTTTTTCAGTATACAAGCAGTAATAACAAAACAGTCCTAATTTTTTTTATGTTTTGCTTTCAGCATTTAAAATAGTGACACAGCATAGTTTTTGCAGTAGCAAAGCTTTTTTGATAGCATGCAATGAAATTGGTACAGTATATAGACTTTTGTGGTTAATTTCATCCTCATTCTATTCAGATTCTTTAAGTGGGCAATATATGAAGATGAGTTCAAAGCTCTGATTAAAGACAGTTGTACTGCTTTCCAACCTGTTATGTCACAGCATTAGGTAGAAGAATAAGTACACAAATATAAGCCTAAACTGATTTATCTGTGTCTCTCCACATAAATTTGTTTAATGTAAAAACAAATAAAGCAAAGCTTTGATGAAGGTTAGCAGAATTTTCAACATCTGTGCAGATAAATTTAATTTATTCAAACAGAAAAAGCAGCATTAGTGTATCATGTAAAGCTGATTTAAATGATTTCATACAACAGAAAGCATATGCAGTAGCTAAAACAAACACCCTTTGCCTTTAAAACCCATTTCACTCAGACAACCATTACTTCCGAATTTTCTACTATGACAATGTTCAGTTATTCCTTCTTTTTTATTCTCTTGCTGATTTTACCCATTCCACTAACCTAAACCATAGTTAAAAGTCCCAGGGGGAGCAACACCCTAAATGTAGCTGTTGTATGTAGCATCAGGCAGGTACATCCACAGACTGCTTCTGTGAACCTGTATGGGCAGATACCTTACAGCTGGTCAGGTAAAATAAGCTCAGCACAATACCTTAAATAGCTGAATGCAAATGAGTTACAGGGGCTTGAATATTTTTTAAAAGCAAATCTCTGTAACACATTCAAACCCAGGAAAATATCTCTATACAACAATAACTCATTGGAGCTATACTAGTTTATCTCTGCAGCAAGGGACAGAGTACTAGAAGATTAAAGACATTTTTTCTTGAAAATTAAAGATTTGTCAAAATTATAAACTCTTGTCTAAAACTTACCTGAAAATATTAAGGTCAAAATTAAAAATTACAAATAAAAATACTGTGTATGCATCTGAAAACTACAGCTGAAAAACTCCTGATTAGGATTAATACCCTTTCCACTTAAGGCAAGACTCTAAAAAGTCTGCACATGATTTCTGAAAACATATGTATCACTTCAAATAAAAAAAGGTGATGAATATGCACTGTAATGTTTTAGAGACCCTTTATTTCTGGAAACGATCATCAACTTGTGCTTTAGGGAGACTGTTACCAGACCTTTATTTCTACAGCTGAATCCATAGCTCTTCTTCTCAGAAAATCTGACCATGATGAGCATACAGGCAAATCTCTCATTGACATTTTAAAATATTTTGTCTTTTCCTGAGTAAGAGCTGGCACAGAGAAGAGTGCTGAAGTGTGTCAAGGCCAACAAGCCACTGTCATTAGGAAACGTCTGAGAGCACAAACCTGAGAGCCAGTCTTGCTCCTCTGAGTGGTGATGTGGATGGAAAAAGAAGAGACTGAACTCAAAACTTCACCAAGGGCCAGCACCCACCTCAATGAACTTTTGATCTTTGTCTTGTGGAACTGATCCAGTATGAAGCACTGTTGTATCCTTTTTTAAATTCCCCTTCTTGAACACCAGGATGGTAAACTCCTTCAGAAATAAGTCACATAGAAAGCTCCTGCACGTTGCTCTTTTGGGCTTCAGTGTGCCAGAAATTTGCTACAGTACCTGTAGGGGTAAAGAGAGATTGTTTCCTTATTCCTTAGTCAGTTAAGGGAAAAATTCCTAGTTACAGATTCCCCGGGGGTGAGGAAGAGAAAAACACAAAACATAACTTATTTTTGAGTCATTAAAATACTTATAAAGCCTCCCCCACACCACCCCCATATTTCACAAGTTTATATACATAAAATAAAAGCTGCGTTCTTTGCTTTCACCCCCTCTCAAAATCTCCTATTTTTAACTGTTAACTTGGGATTCCATTGTTGATTTTAACAATCAGATAGTGACAAAACACATACACCAATTATTATCTCCAAATCTGGCAATTTACTGTAACAGCCATGATCCTCTCTTGCCACTTGGGCTTTGCCAGCTTTGCCTTATATTGTTTTAAGCCCCAAAACAACAGTCTTCACCAAAGCTCCACATCACTGTAGGTGTTTTAGTCACATCACTAGCACATAATGAATTTGTAAAAAGCACCTAATTTTATAGGTGACTCTGTAAGAGGGAAAAGAACTGAAAGCTCCACCTTTCAGCCTCTGCATTTTTGTCTTTGTTTAGAATGCTTGAAGAAGCCATCCGGAAGGAAGAAAGATTATGAGTATCTTGAAACTAGCTGTTTGACAGAGACAGAACTGCTGATAATGAGTGGGTTGTGTCTGTCTTTTTTGGCTGATCACAACAGAGGTCTGAAGCAAAACAGAAACTCTTGATATGTTTGTGTAAAGCAGCAGTAGCATAAGGGCAGGCAGCAGGAGTTCAGCTGAAGTTCAGGGCAGATGCTGCCATTAGTTTACACTGCAGGAAAGTAAAATTGCTTCCGGATTTACCTCTTCCTCCCAACATCAGCGCTGAGCCATGCTGTGCCGCAGAGTCACGATGTCAGTAGGGAAGCAGTCTTTTAGCAGGATACCACGCTCACGATGGCAGTCCAGCTCTTCAATAAATCCGTACCAGTAGATGACTAACCCAGGGCCAAATCTATCAAACAAAAAAAAGGAAAAATGAATTTATGTAACTGTGTTAGGGGAATTTCAATTTCCCACCTCTGTGATTCCAACGCAAATCGGGTAACTTCACTGCAAATTGGAGGGAGTATTTTGAATGTGCCATTCATGTCAATAGTACCTGATTCCATGAATAAAAATGATATTTAGAGACTCACAGAATCCACATCCGAGTTTCAGTTTTTTATTTTGAATCTTCTGCACATGTCAGTAAAAGATACCTTTAATTTAGCATTAAATACTAAATAACATTCAGTAACTCTGATGTACAGAGAAACCTCTTTTGATGTGCACCCTGCTCTTTTAGACTTGTGTGTGCAGACATTAAAGATACAAGAGTTTACCCATGTCCCAGTTCATTCAAATTATAATACCATGAAGATAGCAATGAATCCTTAAAATATAATCTCTACAATGAGCTATTATTCAGGTAATTATTAACATAAAGCACAATTCTGAAGAAACAGAAAGTTTGTGCTGTAATGGCTCTGACATGTGCCTCAGGAACTCCTCAGATATTGCTAACTCTGACTGATCCCCACTAGGCAATCTCAGGAAGTAGCCCCATGGACTATTTTACCCATCAGGAAGTTCAGACCTTCAGGCTGGGTTCATAAAGAAGTAATCACTATCAATCACTGTGTACTGCGATATGTTTTGCACATCAGTTTCACGTTTTTCCTACTGAGAGCACTTAATTAAAGGGCAGCACTACTTCTGGTGTAGTGTTGCAGGAATTTTACAGTGGAATCATAAATTATGAATGTTGGGTTAGTAAAAGGATGTCTAAAAACAGAACTGCTTTCTGTAGTCTAACATTACAGCAGTCTGTACAACATTAGGCCAAAAAGCTTTTTCTTTCCTTGATTTATTATATGCTGTAGTGAACTTGCCAAAACCAACAGTGCAGGATGAGCTGTTAGGTACCGTCTGTACAAGAAAAAGTTCAATAGAATGTCATGTAATGGTTTATATGCAGAGTTGTACTCAGGATTCAACCAATATGGTAGCCAATTTTTGTTAACATTTAATTTTAATAAATATGTGCTGAGGGGAGGCACAGTAACCTAAATGTCCACTGAGCAGACAATACAAACACTCAAAGCCATGGGTAGTGCCAGACTGGCTTCGTGAGGGTGGTTTCTTTCCAACAATGTGGAGAAAACTCTATTTGATGTGCTCCTGTAATGGAACAGGCATCAAAGGAAGAAGAAACCCCTGTGGCTTCCTCCTGCAGTTTCAATTAGATGTGGTACTCTTTTGCCTGAAACTGCTGCAGAGCATTGTAACATTTTGGTCTATGGCTACTACTCTGCAACCTCCAAGTGGCCACAGTTCAGCGGCAGAGTAAATTACCCTAGCATAGATGAGGCCACACTGGCAAATACGCTTTTTGCAACTGAAAGGTGATATTTGAAAGTTGAAAGGTTAAAACTGACACATCTGGTTGTACTAGGTAACATATCCTAACATGCCTGGTAATAAATAGAGTACAGACTAAAAAGTGGCTGATAGGAAGGACAATGTTGCCTATATCCAATTCCTAATTTTGTCTGGTTGGCCAACAATTTCATCTTCCATGGACTTCTCTCAATTGTCCTTTGCTTAAGCTCCTGCGGGGCCAAAACATGCAGAACCTCAGTGCACCCTCAAGCCCAGAGACCCAAGCAGGAGAGAGGGGCCAAGGCAACTGAGGCCAAGGACTGATGCTCACAGCCTCTGGTGAGGGACAGCAGTTTGCTGATCCAGGAGGGGCCCACACTTCTGTTACTTCACAGATGACATATTTGTTCCCACATCAAGCAAATACAGAAATGGGCAACTGGGTGGGAATGTTCTTACGTACAAACCAAAATTATTTTAAAAGCAAAAATCCCCAGAAGATAGGGAGCAGACCTTACATTTCTAATGGGCTCTTTTGTGCAAGGCAGAAGGTATGAAATGTATGCAAGTAGTTACTCATTACGAGCACATGTGCCAGGTAAAATCCTGATGCTAATGAGCAGCTGCTCACCCAAGTTCTGAAGGGTTCATTTTGCTGTGTGGCAGTCTGAATCCCACACCCATCATAAAATCCATGTGGCACTGTGCTTAAGTAATTTGTTAGTTATTTTTTGAAATTGTAATTTTAAATAAAATTACTATTTTGAGACATCTCAAAAAGCTAATTTATTGTCTTGTGAGGAAATCACCTCAGCTCAAGCACAATTTTTGAGGTGCTTAAAAAATTATGTTCAGAAATACTAAATTTGATAATAAAATTGTATACAAGAACATCTGCAGACTATTAATGACAGGAGCAAGTACATCTTTGGCATGAAAACATCCATCAATCCTGCTTCTGTCTGTGGTGTTACAGCAAAACTGTTTGCCCTGTGCTGTCTAGGTTGCACTTTTTCAACTCTATTGTGTCATTCGTTCTATAATAGCTCTATATCATAAAGCCCATGTGTATGATCACATAAAAACCCATGCCATACTTTTGTTTACTGCACTTAAGTGCAGTACTTAAGACCAAAATAAACTTGTTGGCCCATTAAGCATTTGCCACTCACTATCAGGAACTCCTGCTGCTAAGTGCTAATTCCTCTCTCATTAACGCCCAGAGTTGGCAAACCACAAACAATGCCACCGGTTAATTACTGCTGCCTTAATTTGAAAAGACACTTAACCTTTTTGTGCATGGGGGTGAGATAGCTAAATGTAACCTAAAAGTAAGAACCATACTTTTTAATTTAACTCCTTCCCAAGTGGAGATATGACACCCTGAGGAATGAAAGTCAGAACTGTGAATTACAAAGTAAAGCCACAAATTGATTTCTTGCATCAGTTGTAACACTGAGCAAGTTAAGTGACTGACTGTGGTTTACACAGGAGAATGAACTAAAATGACAGAATGCATACTTAGTATTGATATGGAAAGGGGAGACATTCAGTAGCTCTGAGGAGCATAGAAAATCTTTGAATGTACCAATTGGTTCTAAAACTGAATAGATGCAAGATAGGCCAGATTATCTTATTTCATATGAAAGACACACAGGAGAAAGTTTAGGCTTAAATTGAAAATCAACCTTAGAATTTAACAAACTGTGACTCCTATGGATTTTCTTCTTGCTTAGAAAAATTGTATAAATCACTGAAAATATGCTTGTGTTTCTTTCCCCCATCTTTAGTTCTTGGGTGTGAAAAGCTTAGGTGTGAAGGAATGTGTCCAAAAGTTACACAAAACAGTAATTTTAGCTATTCCAGTGAAAGTACTGCTTTTAGATCTTTACTTTTATTAGGAGTTTCTTTTTAAAGCTGAAAAGAAATCCAAGTAACTAAGGATTGGTTGATTCCATGTAGTAAAAACAGAATAAAAGGAAATACAGATGCAAGCACATAATAAACATAGCAAGTGAAAATCATCCACAGAGGTTGCATCAGTTTACTTAAAAATCAATCAATAGATAGGTAGCTAGCATTACATAAATCCCAGTTTAGCCAATGTCCAGTTCTGACATTAGGAGTTGTGACTGACTACAGGGCTGCCAAAGCCAGCTCAGGGGCACTTGGGGTGTGAGTACCATGAGAGCCAAAGGGGAGGCACACAGGCTTCTGACCCCAAGGCATGGCAAGAGGAGAGCAGCATTAAGAAAGCTCGTGGATTGCTTTAGGCCTAATTTAGGCTTGATATAGATGACTAAATTTAGTCTAAGTACTAAAGGCAGCACATAGTGTCTTTCAAAAAATCAACTGAAGCATCTGAGATAGAAAAATACAGTTTGAATATAGTTAAATATAGCTGCAGTCTCAACAAGTTCTTTAGATAAAATTTGTATCTGACAATACTATTTGCTCTAAGTAAGTCAGGTTTGCACTAATTTCAGATTGTTCAGAGGAACTCTGTATTGCTTTAATCACATAAATTTTGAAAGAAAACCATAGCTGAAGAGGTACACTGATAATCCTGGGACACTGAATTTTCTCTTGGAAAGGAGTTTCACACAGATATACCGTAAAGCCAGAAGGCAAAATTCAGATAACACAAAGCTAAATGGTTCTTTGTCTTAAGAAAAAAAACCATAGCAACAACAACAAACTAAGAGATCAGTTAGAATAAAAAAGGAAAGAGCACAACTAAGTAAAATATGAATCAGGGTTTAACTTGCCCTCCAGTTGAACCAGTTTTGTGCTGGAACAGAAAAAAGACTTTTATTTATTTATCAAAGTGGCCTATTAGGCTCACACATATTCTACTTCACTTCAAGAGAAACTACTTTCTAGTAGTGTCTTTTCTTCTGGAATGTCTGTGTGAGGTCCATACCAGCTTCTAAGGATTTGCCTAGACATGTGGCTGTTGTGAGGTGATTTTTTCACGATCACAAAGCCTTGCATGTGGTTTTATGAAAAATGCATTTTCAACACACTGCTTGATACTGAACAGAAATGTAAAAGAACTTGGAATTGTTTTTACATATAAATGTTCACTTCATTTATTATTAGTCTATTTGTTATGGATGTTTTATATGCATCTCAGCATAATGTAAATAATTTGAATTCCAGAAGACTCTCATAAGAAAATGCTGGCATATGAATTATGATTTCTAATATGCATGCATTTAAACAAATATTTTATGAAATGGATTCAGCCAAATTTTCATGTTATGAAAGTGTAACAGTCTACCTGGTTGGTAATTTTAATTATGAAGGTCACATCTGAATGTGTCTTTTAAGGAGTGCATTCTAGTCCCTCACTTTTCAATGCCAGCTAAAAAGCTGCCTTTGTCTCCTTGTTTTACATTTTAAATACAGAGCAAACCAAAGCATTACCATTTGCACAGCACTACTTGTTTTCTGGGAACGGGGAATTACTAAAGTTTACAAAGAAATGATTACATTCTAAGTCAACTTAACATGGTTCTTCAGAATCACAGTTGTAAATAGGTTTTACTTGTAGTACTAATAAAACTTGAAGATAAAATAATTAACCTT